ACCTGCATAATCAATGCTTGTATACCTAACCCTGAATTGTACCCCACATCTTTATAATAACAATTTTTGAAAAAGAGATATGAGGTAACAGTTGAGAGTTTCCTATATACTAGGCAAAGTTCTCAGCTCCTCATAGACATTGGCTTAGTTATAAATTCTACATGCTAAGTAATATATTAAGATATTTTACATTAGCAAAATTTATGCATATAGAATTTAAATTTCTAAACTTAATTGAGGCTAAAAAAATGAAATTTTGAAGTCAAATACAGGGTTAGATTTTCTTATATTTAGGGAAATGTTTTGTGCTTTGGTGAAATTACTAAACCTCAATTTCTGTAAAATCACCTTGTAAACCTCCATAGGACTGGAAATGAATAAATGAGAAAATATTTGACATCTGTCCACAGTACTCTTGCAACTTCTAAGCCAAATTTCACTTTCCATAACTCCCCTCACACACTTCTGACACGAGGCAAAACAGAACTTAAAATATGGCTTAACACATAGGAAGTCAGAAATATACACAGATTTTCCCAGACTTCCCCCTCCCAAATCATTGGAAAGACAGTCAAATCATGGTACTCTCAGGCCAAGGGGAGAATTTTGACTCTCACTGTGAACCTGATAGAAGATCACAGAAAGAAAAGGAAAAATTCTCAGATAATTTAAGAGCACAACAGAAGATGCCTCTCTGTAAGAGCAAGAGAAACACAGGCTTTTCAACAGTCATTTCCATTGAAGCAGAGCTTCACAATCCACACTTCAATGTCTGGTTTTGTCTTTATCCTTTGGACCTCTCACCTGTGTATCTGCTTTATTCACTCCCACCTACCTGGATGTTTGGCTACTGTCTCCTTTCTCTTCACATTCCAGGGCTCTTGCATGTGCTCCAAAAAGGTGACCAGGTCCGGCTTAAAAACAGTGAAACCTGTTTTATTAGGAAAAGCCACATGACTCTTGTTGGGGATTCATTAATTTACAACTCAGTATTGTGCTCAGTAGGGAAAAGGGAACATTATAGAAGATCAGTTAATTTCCCAACTACTGCTTCTTGTTAACCGCTTTAGAATATTAGAAAGTGGCCGGGAGGAGTGGCTCAAACCTGTAATCCCAGCACTTTGGGAGGCCAAGGCGAGAGGACTGCCTGAGCCC